ACTTAATCTTCTTGGATTTGTCAGGAATCCATCACATGACCCTCTTCTGGAAGAAAACAACCGCCATTCGCACTGGCTACCAGTGCAGAGCACAAATTGGATTATTAATAACAAGCATTGCTGACCCTGTTTTCTTTACAAACAGCTGTTGCGCAGTGAAAAGACATTCTATGGATGTAGCCCCGCTCTGTTTTCCCTAACTTGTCTGTGGCACTCAGGCCCATGCCGAAGCTCTCCCACACAAATATTTAAAATCCATTAAAATGTATTTGCTGCTTAACACAAAAAGTTCAACGGTGTCCTAAAGTTCAAATAACTATGTCATAGATTTTTATCATGTAAAAACACTTTAATAAAGAAGCTAAGTATAAGCTAGATGAAAATATATCTGGATGTGACAAGTGCTTCAGAAAATGTTAGTGTTGTAAGTTTGCTCTGACGATATCTTTTTAATTTAATGCTCTCATACATAAGTATTTAAAGTTCCAGATTGAAATAATAGAAAGACAAGACTACTTACTATCAGGCTAATAAAATTGCTTTCCCTAGAGTGAAATAAGTGTACAACATATCCTCAGCTTCCATCTTCATTTACCCACTTCAAGGCTGCAGCACAAAGGCCTGAGATTTCTGGTGGTGACTGGTGCTGAATGGTAAAACAGCCTGAAAAGGAGCATGCAAATTAGTTTTGCCTCTCCTCGATAGCGAGCCTTGACATTGTGCCGATCTGAAAATGAATTTCCAATCAGGGGACTAGGTGTGTGTGTGTGTGTGTGTGTGTGTGGATACACAGTATAAGACAGCCAACATATGGCTCACAAATTGGTTGCCAAAATTAAAAATATATAATACAATAAAAAAATAAGGGTATTTGAAAACAAGCATTCACAGACAGGAAGAGCAATCAATTTGACCTGAGAGTGACACAGTGAGCCCATTACAAGAGATGGCCTCTTAAAACTATATGGCAAAGCTCTTGTAGTTATGTGGAATGGGAAACATATATCATGGTAAGGGTTGCATAATATATTATATGGTTTATATTGCATGTCTTAAGAAAAAGCTTGGCCAATGGAGCTTCAATGGGGTTAATAGCAGCAGTAAAACTTGGAGACTTATCCTCATAATGACTGGCAGTAAATATGATCAAAGTTATAGTCATTCAATAATAATTTTTGAATCATCTGATTACAATGTCACTTGATTGTGCCATCATTCTATATTAATAATTATGAAATGACAGACGAGATGCACCGATTAATCTTCATTAGTATTATAATTACTATATGACAAAACTGCATCTTTAAATGTATTCATTTTAGTTTTTAAAACAGACTGCGCCTGAAGTTTCTAACATTAAATGGTCACAATGGCACATAGAAGATAAACCCTACATGAAGTATAAGTACACACGTCACCGTTTGCTGTTTGCTCTAAAGTCAGTATTACCAGAAAGTCTGTTGTTGTCACTTGTCACGAATGTCATTGTTGCAGTAAGTAGTAAAGAGGCATGCCACGCATGATTTCATTATGAAATAATGATTAATGTCATTATTATGCTATTGTTAGAGTTGTTTTTCAGTTACCTCTAAAGTACTGGTTATTGATAGTAAGTAAGGAAGATGGAGTGTACATGAGTCTTAATACACTTTGCTCAGTTTGGGCCTTCACACTTCATCCAGAATACAACATTAAAAAGTGTCATGAAACTGTAACCTTGAACTGCTAAATCCTTCATAATTTTTAAGAAAAACTACTGGACATATTTCTAACTGCATTATCTGATTTCACCTTGAATTAAATTATTGTATTTGACAGAACAGTTAAGTAATGGTAGTTAATAATAGAATTTGCTGTCATTTCATAACATATTCCCCAAGTTTATTTTCATAAAACTGAAAATGTCATAAGTTGTTCCTTGGACTAAGTACAGTACAGTACAGTACACATTCATTGTGATTCTGCAGCAGTGACTGTGTGAGAATGTGTCTTTTTTTGTCTCTTTGTCCCCGTATAAGGCCGTTTCCAGATAACGCTTGATTTGTCAGCACTGTGCCTGGTTTTAATCTGCCATTCTGATCAGACAGAGGGCAGAACAGCCATAGCCCACTGAGGTCCCGATTAGACTTTGTCAGACCTCTGGAGGACACGATTAGAACAAGCTAATTAGGACAGACAGAAGTTTAGGAAACTTTGGAGAGGAGAATCACAGGCGAGAGAACAAGAGGGTAAGATTGTGGAGAGAGAGGGAGAGTTTGTGTGATACCACTGAAAAATATCTATAATGAAGGAGAGTGTGGAGTATAGCAATGTAAAATCCAAATCATACATTGAAATGGGTTTTAGTCAGAACCAAAATCCACTGAAGTGTAATTCTATTTAAAGGCTGTAGAAGGAAAGAAGAAGCCAGATCACCAATGATTAAGGTCAAATTCCACATCCTAGTGCCTGAAATGTTCTGACAATAAAGGTTGGAATACAGACTGAGCAAAGTGAACAACTACCCAAGAGATAAGTTTATATTATTACTGTATATATAACTTGATTCATTACAAATTAGTGCACAGTTTGCACCAATGAAGTCCAACAACATCTATGATGAAGACCCTTATCCTACATCTTGTGGTCCTCATCTTGTAGAGGAACAAAATCGAACCTTTAGACCTCAAAGCTGCCGTATGTCATTTTTATTGTTGTGTAGAGGAGCTCACTGAGAAACCTAGCATCAGTGACAGGCAGAGATATGCGGGGAATGGTTTGCCATCAAATTTCTGGTTCGCATGTAGTTTCCAGAACTTGTTTAATTTTTACTTTTAATGGTTTCGTTTCTATTGTGTGTGATGTTTGTTCATCAAAACTGTTGCCAATCATTTCCTATTGATCGACTGATCATCTTGTAATTTCAGCACTGCACTGGGTGGTGTCTGGGTGTTTTCAACTGTTTAGTCTAGGTTCAGCTGAGGATTCAGACGTGTGTTCAGTCTTTACATAACATTAGCCTTTAAGTCGCAGGTTTTATAAAAACTGCTATTTCCCATTACTCTGTACTTTCTGTGGGTTTTTCTTTGACATAAAAAATAAAATATCCACCAGTATTTCAGCCCGCTGCCGCTCTATTGTCTTCCTCTCTTGCCTGGATCCTGCCCACTGTTACATCAGCGTCTTATGTAAGAGCTGCGACCAAACACGATCGTGGGGGACAACAGGGGAGCATCGGTAGGTTTTACCATCAGCAGCAGCAGCAGCAACACTAAGTGAAACTGTCACTGGCTCCATTCTTTGTTTTTTCTTTAGTTTTTACCCACATGCTCCTGCACTATTGCAGGCACGACGGGCGACCAATTAGGGTTAGACAAGCAAGCGGAAATATTGAAATAAATAAACTAAAAGATCATTTGTGGCCTGAGGCTCGCGTCGCTTGCATGGTGAAAGATTAATGCTGCCTCTCTGAAAAACTAAAGCCTCCAAAGGGACAGTGGAAGTGGCTTTTTTCCTCTTCTGAAGCACTGGTAAAATAAAAAAAAAAGGCCTGGAGACGCCTCCGGGCCAGAGGAGTTCCGACCAAGGAGAGATGAGGAGGAAAGTGGTTGAGAGAGAGAACGAAAGAGAGAGACAGGGAGAGAGAGAGAGAGAGAGGAAGGCAAACATATTGCAGTGACAGTGGCACATAATTGCTTTCACTCTAAAGCACACACCCACACACAGCATGCCCTAAATCACACAACTAGCCCCTACACTGTAGTTTTGAAGCTTGGCCAATTGCTTAAATCTCTAACATCTGACGCTAAACATACTGTAAAGCACAATGCTGCATGTTCTAATATGAAAGCCAGTATTCAGTGATGGTTGAGTCATTAATCGTAGCGGGGGGTATGTCCAGCATCATGAGATGGCTGATGAGTTCTACTCCTCTGTTCTCTGTTCCAGCTGTCACAGTAAGATACCCCTGCAGATGTTTCCAAGAGATTCAAAAAAATCAAATAAAATTAACAACCTGCAAACTAGGTGGCGAAGAGGTGGGTGAAGTTTTTGGGTCCACAAAATCCTTTAGGAGAACAACTTTGTTGAAGCAGAATCCAATATAATTGAAGTGACCTCAGATGTAATAAAACAACAGAAACAACATAACATGCCTCTAAACTGCTTGTGTGGTGTCATCAAGTGTCCCCAAGCCCTGACATTCATATTCGACTTGAAATAAGGTCACTACACCATGTTTTAAATCTAAAAGTCCGCAGGAAGTGGCTAAGCTTGAGGACATAGCGGGTCTGTGATGCACCTCAAAGATATCAGGCTCAAAACATGGTGTAAATGACCTTGATTCGAGTCAAATATGAATGTTGGGGCTTGCTGACACTTGATGACACCACACGAGCAGTATGGAGGCATATTATGTTTTTTCTGTTGAGACTCCAGAAGTGTTTTGTGGACTCAAACTCTTCACCCACCCCTCCATTGGCATAGTGGTGAGTAGATTATGAGTGAATTGTTCAGTGAACTATCCCTTTAAATCCCACATGACAGCAAATTCTAACATGGCCCCAAAATCTTTACTCCCATTAGATGACTGTGTTTGAGCATATGACTGACTTATTCACAATAGTATGTAAATATTGGTATGGCTTTTGTGTTCACAGAACTGATCATTGTCTCTTGACTAAAATGCACTCCATGCAGATATTTATATTTATATTTTCACAAGTTTCACATAGGTTTCACATGAGGTTTTTAACCAACACATCTGAAGCATCCCAACGGTTGGATGTAAGTACAACTACACAAGAATCATTCCTAAAATATTTGACGCCCTGCTTCATTCACCTGCTACCTAACTACTAGTGTGTATGAGGCATTAAGTGCTTTCAGTAGCTCAGCTTTTTATAGGCTTTCCAAATATCCCAAACCATGTGGAACAACCACAGACTCATCGCAGTTTCCTCACTGGAATGTCTCATACTGGTTATCCCAGTGAAAGAAAGTACAAACACACAGACACACACCTGAGTAGGCCCAGTAGGTCTCCTCTGTGGCAGCTCTCCGGAGTCGCGTCCCATCGGCTGTGGCTCTGCGAAGGCCGAGGACAGGGGCTTGGGACTCGGCTTGGCTTCCTGTCAGTGCTGCAGGGGGGCAAAAGAACATGGGGACAGGCGGATTAGTATAAACAGCAGCAGAGCTTCAACAGCACTTTAGAGCCTGGGCTGGATATCTGCCGGCCAGGATGACAGCCAACTGTGTGCTTAGCTGCCTTACCACGCCAGCTGCCTCATAATAACAGACACAGCAGGAAGAAAGGTCAACAACAAAGAACAACAACTCTGTGAAACTCAACTGTCTCGGAAAAAGACCAAGCTACCTTGCGAACATTTAAGGACAAACTCAGACCCCAGCTCCAGTTCTTGCAAAATAGTCTAAAAAACATGATACAGTCAATAGAGAAATGACAGCTTTGGCCAAGGATCTTCTCTGTTTCTCAT